AGTGAACAGAGACATGGTTCTGAACAACCAGGACAACAGTCACAAAAAACTAAAGGCCTCCCAGAGGCCCGTGTGGTCGTGACACCAAGCCAAACGTAAAAGCTCTAGGGCCACTTATAAGCGTTGCCAGGTGCTTTCAAAAAGCAAGCATTGTGATTGCAGGGACGGGTGAGGGAATTAAAAGCAGCATCAATAGAAAATTGTTCGACAGAGATCACAATGAGAAGACTTGATTTTGTGGTCCTTTACTTCTCCCCCGCCTGTCAGGTGAGGGTTGTTAAAGTTTATTTCAGCTGCCGTCGTTGTCGCAGTCGTCGTCCTCCTCCTCCTGCTCAACCGCGAGCTTCGGTGGGCAGTGTTCCCACCGGACCTCAACCGCGAGCTTCGGCTGGTAGCGTTCCCAGCCGGACCTCAACCACGAGCTTCGGCTGGCAGTGTTCCCCGCCGGACCTCAGCCGCAAGTCAGAAGATATGCCAGATAGCACGCCAGAAAGAATGTCAGAAGATACGCAGAAGATGTGCCAAAATATGCCAAATAGAGTGCCAGAAAGAATGCCAAAAGATATGCCAAATAGCATGCAAGAATGAATGCCAGAAGGTACGCCGGAAAGAGTGCCAGAAGATATGCCAGAAAGAATTGCAAAAGATATGCCAGAGTGTTTAGAAAGAATGCCAACAGATATGCCAGGAAAGAATGTCAGCAAATATGCCAGAGAGCATGTCAGAAGAGATGCCGGAAAGATCGTCAGAAGATATGCCGGAAATATATAATGTTAGTAATTTAAGAATGCCAGAAAGATTGTCAGCAAATATGCCAGAATGCGAGAAGACTCCGGATGGCAGTGTTTGCCGCCGGACCTAAACCGCGAGTTCTGGCTGGCAGTGTTCCCTGCCGGACCTCAACCGCGAGGTCCGCTTGGCAGTGTTCCCAGCCGGACCTCAACCAGCAGCTCAGGATGGCAGTGCCCCCCCAGACCTCAAACGCCAGCTCTTTGTAGATTACTATGTGTTCTCTGTACTGTCTTGTTGGGGTGGTCACTTGAAGTGCATCTGCTTTTTTTGTTCCGCAAACACACAAGCACAATCACACAGTCACAAGCACACAATGTCAAGCACACAGTCACAAACGCACAGCCACAACACACAACAACAAACACACAAGCATAATCACAAGCACAAACACAACCACGAACACACAGGCACAAACACACTGCAGCCGCAACCGCAACACGCAGCCGCAGCAAACAGCCACAAATGCAGCCGCAAACAAACAACCGCAAACGCAACCACAAACACCCAACCGCAACCACAACCACAAAGGCACACTTGCAGCACACAACCACAACACGCAGCCACAGCACACAAACACAACACACAAACACAATCACAGCACACAACCCGAGGACCCACAAACAAAGTCGAGAACCACAAAACTCATGACCATGGCAACATGCTCCTCACCATAGCATGAAGACAAATGATTGAAATGTCATGGTGGGGATCACTCGAAGTAGAGTAGCTATTTTTTTGATCCAAATGCCGCAGGGAGCCCAGTCCGCAAACCCAACCAAAGGAGGCAATACTCAAGAGCAGTTCATATCTTGAAGAAGGGGCAACCACAAAGCTCCAACATATATAATGCATATCAGCGTATGTATATATATATATATTTATACACAAGCGATCACAAGCGTGCATACGTCATTCTTACGCGAGGGGTTTGTGCAAAATATGCGAATTGCTATGAAATGTGGGGCAAGCAAATGGCTATTTGTCTCGAGAAAGCTGTTCAAAAGCACGTATTTAAGGAAAGGGACATGAATCCAAGTCACGAAAAGGATGTATGGGCCGAAAACTGCGTCGGGAAGGTTCTCCATCGAATTAATCCTTGGGCAAAATAGGCGTTCCCAAGCTTTTCCAAGCGACAAGACCCGCAAGTGCAGTTGACCCAGCAGTTGACTATAACTATTCTGTTTTAAAAAGAACCTCACGCCCCCCATGTACACGACAGAGTCTGAGAAAGGCTCCACTATATACCCAATTTGGTAACGTTTTCGTCCAAGTTTCCCTGGTGGAGGTAAAACGGCATTGGCCCGTGTGGCTGAGCCCTTGGGAGCACTCTTCGCTTCTTCAGCGCAGCTTCGTACCAAAACCTTGGGTGGAAAGACTCCATGTCCCTCCATTTTAACAGGAGAAACGCAGTGCGTAAGGGTGAGTGGCTGAACAAACACTCACAAGTATGACCTGAACACCAAAACAAAACCTCACTTGCACAGAAACGATCATGTTGCAGCGGTGTTCAAAGCGTGGACCAGCTGAAAACAGCTATAAAATGGGCTCGTGGGATGCACGTCCAACAGCCAATAGGTCTCAACTTGGATCATCCTTCCAACTTGATCCTTCCAAGTTAAGAATTGTTCAGTTCCAAAGTGCTCCTTTCAACTTGTTCTGTATAAACTCTGAGATCCAAGACAGGCCCAAACAAGTGATTGATTGTTCATGTGCTTGGAATTTGTTGTTCGGGGATGGTTCTGGGGTAAAATCCTGATGCACGAGGGGAGGTTACCATAGCATCAACATGGTGCCCTTTCATGTACAAGGGACCGGCGGTGACACCAAAGGGACCGGCCAACGTTGCCACAAAAACCATGTCCCATCTTCTACTCCAACAAGTTGCAGACATGCGCTTCCGATCTGAGCTGAACCTGACGGACAACGCCGCCAAAGCAATCTCATCACATTTTCATCGCACAATCAGGTAGAAACGTATCATCGATACTTGATACAGTATATTGATATATAGAGAAAGTAATGTTGTATATAAAAACTATATATATATATGTATCTGTATATGGGTCTGAATTCCCAGGCCCTCCAAGGCGGTCACTGCCGCTACAGCCGATCAAGAAATACAACTGATGGACTCTCCAAACCACCTGGGGTTACGTTTCATGGAACGGAAGCAGCGGCGGCCAAAGCAATCCCGCATCGCATTTAGAAGTGGCACCGAACATACCGAACCAGGTTAATGACACACGTGAGAAAGTATCAGTATCCCATACATTAAGAACTTGGTGCGACCATGGCGCTCATTGCAAATCAGCACTTGAAAGAACACCTCCGCAATTCTGTGGAGCACAAGTTACACGCATCTATTTTCACAAGCGACCAATACACCCAGGGCTCAGGCAGCTGGACGTATTGATCCAAACAAGTAAGCAAACTTGTCTACTTTGTCTGATTTTCTCGACGAAGTGGTGTCAGCCTGCTGTCCTCGTACATTTGCAGTAATCTGATTGCCCTGTCCTGAGTAGAGACAAGCACAACCACTGGACTTAGCTTTGTGGGCTTTGCTGGAGTCGCATACCTAGCATCTTGTTGCAACCCTGTTCCCGGGTAGTTTACACCATATCGCATCAAGAAACACGAACAGCCAATACAGCCAATACATATATATATATATATATGAATAGTTGCTGGCAAACAAACCCACATCAACAACAGAGTGTGTATATTGTAGCTGCATGTCCATCTTTGCCCAGCATCGTTTTCGAAAAAAGAAACCAAAATCCTTCGCCATTGCCAAAAGCGCTTCCTGAAGCCGGATGCGACTGTTTCCCAACGTTGCTCGGGTATCTTGAGTGTTGGGCCGTTGGGCAAGAAGAAATGATGGGTGAGCAGCACAAGTAAATACTGTTGACATAGAATTAAGTAACCACCCCCTATTAATCAATCCCAGCTCGACCCCCCCCAATACTAATCTAATTTAAAACCTAGATTTCCACCTTGGCATCTCCTGAATAACTTTTTTTCCTGGGCAGAAACCTTCCCCTATTAATCAATCCCAGCTGCCCCCAGAAAAAAGAATATGGCTTACTATTTATAATATATATATATATACATTAAGTATTCTGGTCCAAGGTGAAATTGATCTTCATTCTCATCCATCATTGTCTTTCACTATCATCCTCCTTCTGCTCATCCTGCTTTTTCTTATCATCCTTCCCTGTTAAAAACCAAAAAATGCTAGCAACATTCTTTCATGTTCCCTTATGAAAACTCTATCAACATCTTAATCTTAAGGTTGTCAAGCTCGCAGAGCATACCCCTCACACAGGCCCTACCACCCCCTAATAGTAGGGACCCCTCCCCCTATTAATCAAGCCCACCCTCTGGCCTCCATCTTGTTTTCCATCTCTTTCATCCTGCAATCCTCCTTCTTTTCCCAATCATCCCAATCAAAGAAATAATCTTGTCTTCCAATCTCGTCCATCTCTTTCCTAATCATCTCAATCCCAATCTTTCCCAATCTTGTCATCATCTCATCATCCATCATCAGGTCATTATCTTTATTAAGGTGATGTGGTCTCCAATACCTCCAATCTCAAACCTTGTTGACCTTGAAGGGGAAGGGGGGGGGGCGTTTATTAATCCTACGTTGAGATTAAAAATAAATGAAGCAAACATACATTGTGTTGCACCGCAGCTTCATACAATGCCCTATCATGCCCACAGCAAACACCTACTGTAATTGGAACTTTCTTTGCGGATTGAGTGGATCGTGATTCACCGCTGGTGTGTATTCACCGCTCGAGTGTGGCAGGGTCTTGCTGCGTTGAGCCAGCATTGCCGGTGAGGTGTGTTGAGGTGCGATGAACGGTGGAAGTGAGGCTTCGAGCGAGTTCATCCGTCAAGTGGTGCAGTGAGCAGGGCCGCAGTCCTCTTGATCTTTGCCACAAGCATCCATGCCACTCTTGGTCCAACTATTTCCCACTATGGGGGCTGAACCTGGGGAATCAATGCTAGCTGCTGAAGCTGCCATTGTCGCCCGGCCAGAAGCTTGAGCGGCGGACTTTGACGATCGATCAAACGAGGAACAACCAGGATAAAGAATTGATTTATCAATACCCCGCTTCGCAGCAGGAACGCAGTGTAGCTTTGACATGCGACTTTAACCCTTTGGAAACAATCTTTCCCCTTTACCGTTTAATTGAACTCACTCAGTCCTCATCTGGAGATGGGCTGCGGAATTGAGTACCTTAGCGGCGAGAAAGTTCGTGCGATGCGCGGCTCTCTCTCTCTCTCTCTGTCTGTGTCAATGTCAGCACAGAAGGAATATCTACTAGGAGCAAATGGCATCGCTACTAGGAGCAAAGGGCATCGCTACTAGGGGCTCCTGGCCTTACTACTAGGAACAATGTTTGCTACTTGAAAAAAAATATAGATAAAATGGTACATATTCCTGCTGTGCTGACATTCAGGATGAATACTTGCTGTAATTTTCTGACTTGAGGCCAAGGTACTCTCAGCTTCTTCCAACAAAGCCAGCCGCGTCTGGATCTCACTTTCCAAGTGCAAATGTTGCATTCCGGGGTCGCTGGCCCTGACCTGTGCGCACAATGGGTTGCAAGCGGAAGTATTTTGCAAGTAAGCACGCACAATCAAAAAAATAACATGTCGTCAAAGCACGGAAAACAAAGACATCAGGTTCACGATAGCCAAGGGGCTGCATCCACATCTTGCATCAACAGCGGCACCTCTGCACTCCTTGTGGCCCTGGTGTGGCGAGCTTGTGCCGTGTGGCAGCGTAGACCGAACAATTAGGTCACCGTGCAGTTTTGGCCCGCTTGACGCCTTATTACTACAACACTGCTTCAGTGAAATTGTGATCACGTATTATGTGTCCCAATAGGTTGGACAATTTGAACATGAAATGATGAAATGAGTAACAATAACATGGCTGGGAGTTTCCTCTACCAGGTGCTGTGGCCCATGCGGTAGGTTTGTTGTAGTTTGCTTGGTTCAATTTTCGTTGAATATCAGGTCACCTAAGGACTAGGGCCTAGAGGCAATTGCTTGTCAAATTGTGGCAGTTCCATGAGTAGGTTATTGTGTGTGATTTGTGGGAATTTTGCAAAAAAGAAGATTTCTCCAGGTCAAGGGACAAAAATCTGCAGTGTCTTTTCAACATGTCTGGCAGTTCCCTTGGTTCAAAAAAACATGTGGCAGGTCAAGGGGCAAATGTTGGTTGATATTGGTCCAAACTTGAGGATTTGTGGCAGTTCACTTTGTCGGCGACTATTGGTTAATGTGTTCAAATCTGAGGTAGCTTCTTTGGTGCAAATTTGAGGATTTGTGACTGTTCTTCTAGTTCTTCCAGTACTAAAGGAATCGTGCAAAAGCCCGGGAGTGGCAAGGTCGCCATGTTGGAGGTGGGCAGCACTCAAATGGTTTTGGTGCCGACCATGAGATACTGTATGGCGTGAAAGGTGCGCACAGCTTGTCCATGCACAGTGACTTCTTTGGTTTCATGCTGAAACACACTGCAGCACTTGGCTCCTCTTGCTCTCACCCTGCATCCTCTCTGGCATTGCAGCATGACAAAGCGTTAGGCACCTCAGTGCTGCTAGAGACCGCAATGAATGCCTATGAATGTCGCCAACAACATCGCCGCGAAGAAATCAGCAAAGTTGCTCTTGCCTTCGTGTGACAGTTTAAACGATAGAAAGATCGAGCGCGCAAGGTAATTACAAAAGAGATCCTTGATGATCCTTGCAAAACATCGTTAACAATATCTGAGCGGGAGCTTCTGTGGGGGCCGACACGGACGGAGAGGGTTGCTGCTGTCCATCAAATTGCAGCAGCAATTGATTGTTTGGAGAATTCATCGAATCAAAATGACACCTCTCTCTATGATGTTCACTGCCTCCTGGGATTGAGACATGTTGAGACTTGAGACATATACAGTGCAACCACTGACAAAAATAATCAAATTATATACAATCTTGCATCCAGCAGACTCGGAACCAACCAATCTAGAACAAGTTGACTAATGACAAGCCTAAATGTGCCGAAGGCACAGAAAGAAATTTTCCAAGAGTGTGTTCTCCGATAGTCGAATGTTGCCTTTGGCGTCTGTGGGGTCTGAATCGAAAGGAGCCGTCCACAGCGCAGGGCCTTGGAGCAAGGTTGAGAAGCTACCACGGAAAACCTAGCAAAGTCACTACAGGTCCAGAAAATCAAAAAAATAGAAGTGACTTGCGTATGTCGAATTGTTTTGTTCTCACCAGAACTTTGATTGCCAGCTTGGAAGAGATTTTGGATGTTTGACACAAGGAATGACAAACTGTTTCCTGTTGGCCAACTGAGAATATTGTGACGGCAAGTGGGTTTAAGGTCCTACACTCCATACACTCCTAAACGCAACTAAATAATTATGCTAAAAAACTGCTGACACATTATCCAGCTCACAACATGGAATCAAGCTATCATACTGTCATACTCCATTAAACAGCACCCACAGGATAGATGCCGGATTGCAGTTTCTGCTAAGCATGCTGAAGTTGGTTGTCACAATGATGTCGAATGTTGACTTGAACTGGATGATGGCATCGGTCCCAAACAAACTACAAATGAACCCGGCCAGGAAGCAACACAAATTCACCTGCATAAGTCAAAACCAAAACAACAAAGCAACCAGCTTGCATGAAGGTGTCGGTTCGCAAAGCAGCAAGGAGCATGCGGATGGCAAAATAAAACCAAACATGAGATGACATATGCCGTGGTGAGATTGGAATACATTGCATTAATTTGCTGTGCATGCACTACTATGCACTACTATATGCCAGCGATGGATGTGCTGGGTTCTAGCGCATGAGCGCACCACTGGGCAGCTCATGAATGGCGACAAGGCACTCAAGGGCAAGCAAACGCTCCGGGGAGGAAGTCTTTCAACATGGTCGGTTGGAACACCAAAGGCGTCACCGTTGAGGCTTGCATCCTCTCCCGCATCGTTCGAATCATCTGGACAGTCAGACCAGCAGCCATAGGTTTGGCCATCCACCCAGCAGGCTTTAAAGCACATCTCGTTCTGTGTAAGCGTTCCAGTCTTGTCCGAAAGGACAAAGTCTACTTGTCCCAAGTCTTCACAGAGTCCAGAGCTTCGAACCTTGCAGCATGTATCATCACGCTTATGATACATGCTGTCATCTGATTCCATGATGAAGGCTTGAAGTGCACGCACCAAGTCGGTCGTCATATACAAACTGATGGGTATCAAGTTGTTGTACCCAATGAGGAAGGTCAGGATGGCCATGTAGGGATTGTCCTGACAAGTCGCAACACATATATAACCCCCAGAGAGCACATGTCAAAGAGTGGAATTGAGCTAGGGACACAACCCGTTATCAGCCATTCAAAGTTACAGGATGAAAAAGCAGCTCCTGCAGATCATCTCCACCGGTCAATGGCCAAACCCAAGCGAGGTTCTTGTAGCCCCTCTCGTTTGAGATGAGGTAAGCCCTCGCAGCTGCCTCGGAATGCGCAACACATTGAGAAACAAACTGGGAAATCAAAATCAAACTTGGCCAAGTCGGGCGAGTGCTTCACACGCAAGTCGACCAAGCAGCAACTGCAAAACTTTGCTGTTGCTCGAGCATTGTATACGTTGTATACAAACAAGATAAGTGCATCACTGCATCACCATTTCTGACTATTATTGGAATGCAGGTTTGCCCTGGGCAGTCTAGCTCGTAGCAGGTGATATTCAACATGTGTCACATGGCAGTATAGTAATTTTTTTTTTTAAATTGGACAAGGTTGAGCTGAAGCAACCATGGTTCGCCGTAGCCTCTGTGACACAGAATCCAGGGCATTCACTACGGTAATTGAGGGCATCCGAAAGCCTTCCAACGTTTGACGTTTTCAGCTCTCTACATCAGCGCAGATGTGTGGTAACTTTGCAACCCTACAGCCGCCGACATCTCAGTCGATTAGTCTGAGACACACAGCCGATGGAAATCACGAATAGTAGAAGGAAAACGATGATCAGCAGCTTGTTTGCTAGCTGCTCCACCTGCTCAAACAATGCAATTCTGAGAAACGTATGAACTGCAAGTCTGCATGCACAATGTCTATATTAAAGCAAAAAAACAAATCACACATCACAAGGCCTAAGACACGACAAGGTAAATTGTCTCAGGCACACCAGTGCCCGCTGCAATGCTAACACGCGGTGAATGTGCATGATGCGAGGCAGTCATCATTCGGGTTGGGCCTGGGATCTCTTGCTTGTCAACGATTGGGACGAGTTCCTAACCACCTTGGTATCCACTCCTGTGTACCTCAGAGCAACACTCAGGCAGTCACCCGGAATTACTCTCACAGTACTTCCAAAGCGCTGAGGCGGCCAAAAGGCACGACCAGGCCAATCACATGATTAGTATTTCGGAGCGTAGAGCCGCGCAGCAGGAAGTTTTTCAAGTTCTTAGTGACAGCCGAGCCATCGAAATTGAATAAGCCAAGTACAGTAAATCTAGGCATGTGGGTACTGACGTAATGACTGTAAACTTTCCCGTGTGGCTCTACTTCACACCGTGCCTCAAACGTGCTCAGTCAAACACGTCATGGCTATGGCTAAAGGGAACGGTATGGTATGGGTCAATCGCTTGATTGTAGGCCCAAGCCAAGTCCAAAGCTACATTCAATGCCTGCATCTGCCAAGGGTCGACATGCACACCTCTCGGGTAGCCCTTGAGGTAGATACAGCCATCAAATTTATTGACCATCTGATTTGGCAAGTCTGCTTCCATGTGGCCTGCAGCACAGGCGAGTGGCTTTCTTACATCTGTGTCGTTTCGGGTGAAGGTTGATGACACAGGCTGGGTCGGCTAGGTAGCCGGCAACTCATTTTGAAACCCCCCATTTACACAAACTTTAACCTCTGGAAAATCTTTTGTTGCCCCAACTTACGACGTCTCAGGCTCTGTCTCTCAGCTTGGCACATCAAGCAGGGCACCTTCCACACTGTGTACCGAGGAGTTGCGGATCATGTGTTGGGTTTCCTCCACAGCATACTTTGGCTTTAAGGAGGACTCCCCGTCCAATTGCGCAGTATCCACAAAGGCGCCGCCACCTGTGCGGAAGGATCCAATACAATCCAGTATATTTTGAGTGCTTTCACTTCTCAAAGCCCAAACGTTGCGACAGCACAACCGATATGGTATATATAATTTATGTAGATTGTAGTACAAACAAAACACATACATAACATATTGATTTTGTAGTATACTACATTTGAATACACGCATGCTGTATATACAATATGTGTCGAACTGTTACTGAGTCCCATCGTTGGAGTAGTTTTCATCGATGCTGTAATTACATCGAAGTAATGCATAACCTTGCGGGGATCTTCCTGCGCTGGCATATCAGCTCTCCCACATGACCCTCACCTGGACTTGAGAACACCAATAGGAGATCTGCAGGTACCGGCTGGTCCCGAGCGATTTTGACGAAGCTGCCCACTCTGACCTCTGACCACCTGAGTCTTCACAAAGATCGGACGGACCCAAGTTTCTGTGACCTGTGCGGACTCAAAAGTTTAAGAACCCAGAACTTCGCAATGCTCCTTCAGAAGGCTGCGATGAACAAACCCAGCCAGCGGCGGCCTCCAACCTACTAGCGATGGCCTTCAACCTAATGCGAGGACCGGATAAATAGACCCCCGCCTCGCCACCCCTGTTTGCAGCTTTGCATCCTATTAACACCTGTCTGGTTTCATCTCGTATGTGCATTCATGACTCACGTGTTTGGCTCAAGCCTGGTAACAAACCGCTTGCTTTCGTGTGCCATAGCACTTGACCGTGACCGAGCTTCTGTTTGCACTTGTCCGCTGGACCGCTCTCAAGACAGTGTCTGTCCCCAGGAACTTCCACTGCACGTGCCAACCCCCACGTGGAGCTCTAGAAGGTCTTGAAGGTCTGAGGTACCATTCATGAGGTCCACCTCCCCTGAAAAATCTGCTACGGGAGTAGAAGGAGTAGTAGTAGTAGTCGTCGTCGTCGTGGTGGTGCTAGTGGTGGTGGTGGTGGTGGTGGTGGTAGTGGTGGTGCTAGTCGTCGACGTCGTCGTCGCCGTGGTAGTGGTAGCGGTGGTAGTAGTAACCCCCCTTCATTGTTGGGTTGGATGCTTTTAGAGGCATTCTATACACTTTGGGCCCTATAAATGCCTAGAGGGGGCAAAAAAAGACTCCAAACTATAAAAGGGGGTTGTGGATTCTGAGCATTCAACACTAACATGTTTAAAAAGCACAGGCCAAAATAATGCCCATGATGGGTTCAGCATGGAACATATACAAGAACACACACTGTCTATATAATGCCACGTGTGGGTGCAAGCACAAAAAGAAGTCGAACGGCAAGCCACAATTTCAAAAATATTGTTGTAGTGGATACAAACGAAACCATGTTGTTTATGGTGGGTACTGTACTCATCAACTCATCTAAGAGAAAAAACAGTTGCCTACAAAATGCACTGACCAGGTGCCAGTATCATTAAAAAAAAGCATCCTGCTATAAAATGCCCCCTTGACCCTAACAGCCTCAAAATCACTCAAGTTTATAACATGCAAAAATGGACCTCGTACCTGCAAAACCTTCAAACAAACACCAAGATTCAGAGTGTGCACCGCATGGGTGCCCTATAAAATGAGGTCCAAAATTGGCATAATATAGCACAAATGGATCGGCATTTTATAGGCGAACACCGGTGGGGGTAGTACTAGTAGTAGTAGTAGTAGTTGTTGTTGTTGTTGTTGACCTTGTTGTGCGGGCTCGGATTAACTGGGGGGGTGTTCTGGTGCCCAACTCGGTGATTGAGAGGGAAATCAGTCACCACCACTACTTTAAATTTGGCAATTTTCCGAGGCTTTGTGGGCTCGGATTAATTAGGGGAGGTTAGGTTTATTAATCCTGTGTTTGCATGAATAGCGATGGCCTCCAACCTATTAGCGATGCCCTCGCTAGCCGCTAACCTAATAGCGATGGCGTATAAATGCATGCGTGTGTTTCTTTTGAGCTGCTATTATCCGTGACCGCCTTTCCATCAAGAATTCCCGAAACTGTGTGCCTTGCACGTGTACAAACTGGCAAAAGGAGGATGTTGCCGAAATTGGTCAAAATTGCTTCTTCTCTCCCTGAAATGGTAACATTTCAAGTATGCGTGTCAGTTCAATCAGGTCCCTTTACCCAAACTTTGCCTCAATTTTTGTGTTTGTATTTTTGGTAATTGTGTGCCCTTCAACCCATCAGCATATATTGCTAAGGGATCTCGTAAGTTGATGAATATCCCTCCGCACGGAGGTCACCTTCCCTTTAAGGCCCTGCTATGAAAGGAACCATTTCAAGTTTCAGATGTTGGATCTAAAAGCAGGACACTCACGATGCATCACAAACTTCATCAATCTTCTACATTCTACACGACATGTTATGCAAACTGGATGCTCAATTGAGACCTTGTTCAAGAGAGGTTGAATCCGAGACAGTTCCTATGAATCCAGAGAGTTTCAAAGCTCTTGCACTTGTCGAACCCTTTTTTTTATATACAATTTTTGTATATCTACCCACCCACTCCAAGGAGCTTGATGCTTGCATATGGATTTTGGCCATCACCGCCAGTAAAGACTTTCACCACCTGATTGTTCACCTTGGACGCCGCCCAGAACAAGGTAGAGACTGAAAAGGGTTCTTCCAAGCTCGCACTCTTACTCCTTTAGTAATTAGGTTGGAGGCCATCGCTATTAATTAGGTTGGAGGGCATCGCTAGTTCTTCCAAGCTCTTACTCCTTCATTTTCTTTCCACGTCCTGGCTTTCCTTTGTCCCCGTCAGCTTCAATACCGAGTGGCTCGGCAATCGTCCCGCCAACGCTTTAAGTCCTGCCACGAAACAAGAAGGACTAATGAAGTTCGTGCGACGAAAAGGATGTCAAAAAGGAAAATGAAGTGCATGAAGTTTGAAGAGGAAAATTAAGTTCATGGAACAACTGATGACACCAGTACGACATGCGTATGTATATATAGAGACCTTGCTGATCCGACAGTCATTACCCCGCACCCATCCCACCCCCCGGCCGGAAGCGAACGTCATCGTTGACGTGACGGGCGCGCGACAGGTGCTGTCACCACTAAAGATGGACTCTTCTCAACTAGAAATCTGAAGGCGATGTGCAAGTGACCACGTGGACGCCCCGTCGGCGGTCCTCGTAGGCATCCTTGCAGAAAGTGACGAAAAGCACCCCACACAAGGGAACTAATGTTGCCCAAGACGTTGTGGGTGAGATCCTGGGCGGTTTCCATCCCACATCCACTCCAGCGATCTGTACAAGGTTGTCACCAAAAAGAAACAATCAAGGGAAAAGGATGGAAAAGACATAAATAATACAAAACAATGTTTTGGCTTGGGACTCACAGGATGGGAGTCAGGGACTTGCCAAGGCGCTTGAATGGCAACATCTGCAGGGTCGAGACGATCAGGAACCAAATGTTTGCCACGCGGTGGAACTGTTCAAACCTTGAACGTTGGCCCATGAGAAACCGTATTGCTTCCAAGTCCCGCCAATTGCAAGCACAGCCGTCTTCCGGTCAAATGAACACACAAACACACAGTCACTCTGCCAAGAGGCAAATTCAAAGGAACTATGCTCCACAGCTTATACCGAGTCGTGGAGACCTCAGCATGGCGACTCCGTGACACAGAAGAGGGCTCGACTAGCATCAGGATGAATTAAACTGAGCTCTTTCAAGATTTATCAAATGTACGATGTACGAGGACTACTCATCAGGCTCTCTGAGTGCTCAAAGCATGGTTCCAAGCACACGAGGGAGCAAGCACATGCAAGCACCGCTGGATACCGCTGGCGATCGGTGCAATCAGTTAAACCGGAAGTCCTGTTCCCCGCAAAGTCTAAGGCGAAGACATAGTTGCTTGGAAATATTTGCCGCTTGGCCAATCCACCAAATTCAATCCGCCTGCACCAATTGGGCTCTTGTTGGACTGATGGCGCGATTGAGGCTGTCACGTGGTGGCGGCCAGGTGAACCATATTGCGTTGCAGGTGCGGCGGCAGTTGTGGTCTTGAAAGTGGATGAAATTGTGTGACACTGATGCCACGGAATACAAGAAGCGCACTGGCTTCGTAGAACTAAAGGACCCAATGACGGCATATAAAGATGCATACTAATATACACAGAAGGATGTTCACATTCAGCATGTGGCACTATGCCACCAATAGTGCATCACACTTTACCCACCTGTACCCAGTCTGTTTGAATGAATTATTCTTGATTGGACAACTGCATATATGCAAGCTATATGCCATATGCATATATGATTTGTGTACTGATATATGATATATGTTCATCATTGAAGGGTCCTTCAAAATGCGGATGTCACATCTATGCCTCCTTGCTGCAGGTACGGAGCGCCCGGCCTTCTTCCCTTCTCAAATCGGGCAGTGCTGATTGCACTTGCCTGTGGTGTATTCGGATCGTCCTCCATGTTGTAGAAACTGAGCCTGTGAATCTGCCAAAAGGCCAAGCAACACAGCAACCGCTGCGACATTCAATCATTTAATTTGCCTACCTACATGCTACTGCTCCAAAGAACCTTGAGTGTTCCAAGGGTGTTGGCAAACGCGTCACACCACACCACCATTCTTGTCTGGCTTTCTGGGCAAATCCTTCTGCCGTGCCGGTGATTGACAATTTTTGGTACACTTTTTTTTGCCGCCAGCCAACGGTTGACCACGATCCCGTCAGTGACGCTGGTGACCCCATGGTTCCGCGGCCTGCAAGTCACACTTTTGCGGTTGCAGGCATGCCATGGCCCAACCCCCGTTCGGGGGAGAGCTCTTTGAGCCTTCAATCTGAATCCGTCCGGGCCGTGCTCAACACATCAAGGTTCCTCTCGCTCTGCTCTAAACTGGTGAAGCAGGACAGTCACTGTGTGCAGTCTTCCGAGCCGTTGTCTTGTTGCTCTTTTAGGGTTTCTTTCTCCTAACTTCTATTTCTCAACAGCTCCAAATTATGGTTATTTCCATCTCAAGAGGCCTTTGAGGAAGGTACTAGGAGCAAAGGGCATCGCTGACAAGGACGCTATTAGGGGCTCCTGGCCTTACTACTAGGAACAAGAAGCTACTAGGAGCAGAGGCCTCCTACCTTCCATCACCGATCCCACCCGTGCTCCCCTGCGTCAGCCACTTCCTGGGAGAAAGAAAGCGGCGAATGCCGGAGTCAGCCCCTTTGTTCCTAGTAGCTTCTAGCTACTAGTAGTAAGGCCAGGAGCTACTAGTAGCTTCTTGCTCCTAGCAATGCCCTTTGTTCCTAGTAGCTTCTTGATCCTTCAGCGATGCGATCCTTCAACGGCCAACGAAACAGCGGCGTGACTGGCTCGCACGTCGATCGCGTCTTTGTGTCAGACTTCCCACACCCCTGGTCAACGCCCATCAAACATGGTCAACTTTTTCCCAGTTCCATAGAACAAACCGTCCGATTCTGGGGCTCCATGCGGCTACCGCCATTGGTCTTAGCAAGCATGCTATGAAGGTGAGATGACACAGGTGACGGGGTCAAGCAGAAGCAGGACTTCTGATTGGTGACCACTCACTAGCAGGAGGCTCTTTGTTGACCATTCAACAACCATGGCCACCTTCTGAATATATATAATCATCATCTTCTAGATGCATCTTGCCGAGTTAGGTGCTCACAATATGATGGTCTGATGCAATTGCCCTCAGAAATCCCAGCAAGCAAACCGCACAAAAAAACTACAAAAGACCACATGTGATCGCAGCCGCTCAAGGTACAAAAGGAGGTCTTCCAAATGTCTCCAGTCTGGCAATTCAATTGAGAAAAACATACCTCTACCACTACCACCAAAAACTCAGCTCACAGTAGCACGGGCAATCCTTGGCACAGTGCAGTGAGAGTTGTGGGCCAAGGTGCGCTGGAGCAACACGTCACCAGTTGCAACGTCCACCAGCGCCCCTAGCTACTGCGAATTCGAGCCTATTCACCATGATTGGGCTTGCACCTTCATATCTGTCATGTGACATGTGTCATGTCCCTTTTGGAGATTGCTTCCTGAACTCTTGGTTGGACTCGAGCTCTTGACTGATGACCAAGCCCGGCCAAGCCCTTTCATGGACTGAATGAACTATCTGAATTGTAAGAATCAAGAACTCTTCTTAAAGTACCACCCCACCAAGCCACCAAAACAAACAAACTCCGTCTGTGTCTTTATCAATTTTCCAGCTTGCAGCATCCTTGGACTTTCTCAAAACCGGCGCATGTTTCCTTTGCTGGGATCTGCGGCTCTGTCAACGTCGGTGAAACATTCAAAACCACACCGCTACAGAACTCCGACTTGTCACTTGAAGACACTTCCGCACAATGCAAAGGCCTCCGCGAAGAACAACCAAGTCGGAACATTGGAGCAAGTCGGGTCCTTAGAACTCTTTGGTCGTCTTGCACCATACGGTCGTCTTGGCACTTCGTGATGCATGGTAGTCTTCGATGCAATGCCGCCTTGGACACCTTGGGCGTGGCGTTGGGTAGACTTGAGGAATGTGCTGCACACTTGGAGGACTTTTACGGTAATAATTCGCTCTGGAAAGTTGATTCCACTTAGCTGTTGGATTCTGCAGACAACGCTTTGTCAACCGAAAGGCCAACGACAATAGCTTGCAAGCGCTCTCCCTTGTTGGGTATCGAATAACTGTGCTTCGTAGCAGCAGGAAGTGGCATCACTGGGATGCCCACTTGATCAACACACCAACAGAGCAATCCTGCAAACTGCGATGCTGCAACACACGCTACACAGCTTGATTTGGAATCAAGCAGTCAAGCAGTTTATCATACCTCACACTCTGACAACTCGCAAATGACCACGTTGGGTCTTTTCTTTTCCGCTGATTGAAGCTAAATACCTCAGCGTACGTTACGGGGCACATTGGCTTCCCAGTGTTCGTCATGGGCCAAGTTTCGCAAACTGGGCAGATGCATGAGCTGCATAAATCCCGAGCCGGCTGGCTCCCATGTCACCACGAGAACACATGCTTCAAGCAAAGAGGGCAAAAACCTCGGGAGCCCTATTGACAGAAATTGATTGCATTGGGCACTTCATCTGCTGCAGGTGAATGTCACCTGCTACATTCTCGAAGCATGCCCTGCGGTCACAGTGCTTGTGAAACGTTTGAAGTGAAACACGAGACTTAACACGCTCAAACATTGCAAAACATAGTTTGTTTTGCAATTATGGAGGCAAATCTCATTTTCAGGATCACTACGGGCCAATGCTGCCAAATCAGTCGCATTTTCGGAAGCACTCCAGTTTTGATGGTCCGAGAGCTTCCTGGCAAGATTGCCCGTCACCATGCTATCTTCAACATTTCAAGTGCTGCAAAGGTCAAGCTTTTTGTTAATTTCTAGTTGAAACGAACAACACATTTCAGCCGCAGAAAAAAAAACTGAGTACAAACTTCAAGCCGCGGAGAAAACTAGTATAAACAAAGTTCATTTGACATGATGATTTGTTAGGTGGCGCTTATAATGGACTTACATCGTTCTGCAGCCGCCTTCTTTTATATAACCTCACTCCAGTGACCTTCTTTTGCATTTGGAATGGCCATTTGGCTTTGAAAAGCAAATGCACATAAACTGCATCGTCCAACACGATTCACATCGATGGTGCAGCAGCCAAGTGGGGAAGTGAGTGGCGTTGCGTAGTGAGTGGCTTTGCATGTTACTATATTATAGTTGCTCAGTTAAGACCATACCTTGCCACATGTGCTTGAATTGACACAAGGCATGAAATCAACTACTAGTGTAGGAAACAGTGCAACATAGCATTATATATATATGTATACGCTACACTATACTGTATTCACCTGTAGTATTCCGCAGGGTATCTTTAAGCAAACTTTGCCGAAGGGTATTAATTATTCAGGATATCTATTCATTTTGATAAGAACACCCCCCAAAAAAATGGGGATGTCAGTGAGTAAGAGCTGAGAGAACACATCGGAGGGTTGAATCGTTGTTTGCACTGGTAGGGTTGGGGCACAAGGCCTTTGGAGATGGCTGATAGCCGTTATGAGAACCACCACAAGCACTCAGTGAGTGACAAATGAACTGGCGTTCGTTTCGCACATTTGAGGCCTCTCTGGGGGTTGCCATTGACAATTTGTTGCAAATGCACCAACACATAAACGCGCCTACTGTTCCAATAGAATCACACATAAATATACATTATATATTATACTATACTATACTATATTATTTATTATTGTAAACAAACAATCCTTTGCCCCCCCCAAAAAATCCTACTCTTTGGGTCTTTGGGGCAAATGTTCGAGTTAAACCTCTCAAACATGATTTCAAGAATGGCACCCTCCAGCGACCAAAAGGAGTCTGAAATGGCCTCGCCCTTGCAAATGGGCATCTTCCACAGTTGGC